CGCACTCAGTGGTCACCGGCGTCGTCCAGAATGCACAGGCTCGTTCGTGTGTGAATTGCGAGGTACCAAATCCCAACATCAAAGACTAGCGAGAGCCGGGAAGACTGTAGACATGGCGCCAAGTGAGCGGCTGCGCATACTCTGGGGCTCTAGTCGAGTGACAACCTCTTCTCTGGGTCACTCGCCCACTTATGTCCGCCGTCAATACAACAGTCCTAGAAGCTTGTGCGGACTCACTAGCAATAATAGTTCCTCACCATCGTGACCCCGTCGCCCACCTCCAGGCGAGTACAGAAGCCCTTGTCGCCTCTACCAGCCACCGCTCGTACTAAATACGAACCCCACGGCCGTCTGGCACGCGCAGGCTTCGTGCCGCGAGCTGTGCCACCGCGTGCTTCGCGGCCCCCGTCCAACCAAACCCCGCCAGTGTGGTCCCCGAGACCGTCGGCACAGCAGCCCAGAACCCAACTCAATCACAGCGTCTTCGCCTGCGCCATTGATCTCTGCGGTGCGCGTGTATCGATCCCCTCAGCGCCCAAGTGCGGACAGCACAGATCCGGCGCGATAATTATAGTGTCCTTCTGTCGGCTGATCGGTCGGTCTAGGAGCACTTTGGGCGTTCAGCGTTCGACGTCCGGATGGTGGATAGGTCGGGCGGCCATGCGGGCGTTGCGCTGCCGCCTTCTTTGTCTTTGTGGCGTCCATCCCTTCCGGATGCCGCGTCCGTTGCGGTGCGTGGGCGACATCATCTTCCGATGCGGCGCTCGGCGGACTGCAGCCCAATCGTCAGATGGATGGGTGCCCATATCGACGGGGGAGTGTCGAGCGCCTGGCGACTCGGTGCGCCGGCCTGGCAGAGCAGCGCCACCGTGCGTGCTCCTAGCTACACGAGAGCTGATACGTGCTTCGTGTCGGGTGCCTTCCGATGCATTCACAAAGACCGTGTAGAGGAAGGTCACGCGTACATCGGGCAGACGTTTCACCTGCGGGTAACAGCCAACGCGTTCAACGTTCAGCGCAGAAGAGGTCCTTCCCAGCCGAGCTTCTCCCCTTCCGTTCGCATCCATTCGCAGCTGCGCAGTCGCCTGCCAGCCAGCGCGCGCATTTTGCTGTAGTAGACACCGGTTCTCAGAGCGCTAGTCTCGCCCGAGCGCGATCGTGGCTGTTGCTCTGGGTGTGCCTGGCCATTCTACTCGACGAAGACTGCCGGAAACCACGGGGCGCGATCGGAATCTGCATTGCAGGCGATCCACGCGACGCCGTGGCTCTAGGAGAGGAGCAAGTGGCGGGCGTGTCTGGGAGCACCTGGCAAACGCGCAGCCGAAATGGTGGTCCTATCCGTCTTCGAACCCGCCCAGGCGTTGTCGGACGAGTGAGCGAGGGCGGGTCCGGCGGTGCGCCCGTCGCAGCACACATCGTGCACTCCGTCCGACCCGCGGTCAGCAAACAGCCCCTAGAAGCTCGGTCAGGCAGTGGTTTCCGATCGTTGTGTTATCGTCTGTTTCTCGGGTGGGTAGAGAGCCGCATCCCGTTGGCGAGCGCAGAAGCCTCCCTGCCGCCCCTGCCGCCCCTGCCACCCACGGCGTACGCTGAATGCACCCCACAGCCGTCCGGCACCCGCACCAGCGCATGCTTCTCGCCCGCGTCCAACCCTGCGAGCTAGTCCCCGAGTCTGTCGGCACAGCAGCGTAGCACCGATCAGGTTCGCAGCGCGTCCTGGATCACAGCGTCCTCGCCTACGCCAGATGTACGAACAGTACGCGTGTATCGATTCCCCCTGCGTCTATGCGCAGACAATATAGATGTGACGCGATAATCACCGTCCGTCGGGTGATCGGTCGAGGAGGGCTTCCGGGGCTCGACATGCGAATGTTGGTACTGTCGGGTTGGGCCACCACGAGGGCGGCGCGCTGCCGTCTTCCTTTGTGGCATCGTGATGCATCCCTTTCGGATGCCGCGTCGCGTCCGTTGCGGTGGGTGGGCGACACCATCTTGACGGATTGCAGTTGGCTGTTGGACGGATCGCATCGACAGAGGGACGTCGAGTGCCTGGCGCCTCGGCGCGCTTGGTCTGGCAGAGCAGCGCGCGCCGTGGCTATTCTGGGTGGGGCTCGTGCAGGCTTCGTTGGTTCATTTCCGATGCCTTTCGCAGCACGTACAAAGAAGCGTGAAGACCACCCGGACATCGGGCGAGCTTGCCATATGCCAATAGCGCCGTGGTTGTTTCTCTCGATGTGCCTAGCCACTTGCCCACCGAAGGCGAGAAACTGTGTCATTCGACGAGATTAGCTGAATTCACATGCATTGCATGATTATGCGGATGCGGATGCGGATGCAGTCTGTGCACAAAGTCTGTCGGCGGTCCACGCGGACGCAGAGATCGATCAGTGCAAGCGGGTGTAGCTGGGATCGGAGCGGAGTAGGGACGTCCGCCCGCGCGCGCGTAGACTAGACATGGCCTGGCTGGCGCTTAAGAGTGACAAAGCTGCAGAGGAGCGCACCGGAGGATAGGCGCCGGACGACGGCGAACGGAGCGCACGCGTCCCCCCTTGGGCTCGGCCGAGCGGCCATGGATGCAGACGTACCCGGCAGGCGGTGGCGGTGGCGGAGATGTCGCTGGCCGAGTGCCACAACGAGCGCGCTTCCTCGCCCGATCTCCTGGGTGCGTGGTGCCGAAAGCGACGGTCTGTGGCTGTCAGTGGCGTGATGCGCCGTCGAGATCAGAATGCATCCAGCAAAATTGCCGTCCGCCCTGAAAGGGAATGCCGAACGGATCCAGGGCGTACGTGCCATCCCGCACTGTCCGTTTCGCAACCATCCGTCTCGTGCGTCAAACAAAAACACACCGCGCTTTGACGAGCCAAGAAACGACTTGTCAGACACACGCTCTGTCGTTTTGCCTGCTCTAGACGACTCTGCCGCCGCCCAGCTCAGCTCAGCTCGTCGTGGTAGGAACGCACACGCGCCGCGCTCGACAGCCTCCTGCTACACGCATAGAATGGAGCCTAGGCGAGATCCTGTCCGAGACTGCGTTCTGCGCAGCTGGGCGGCGATCGGGACCGGGACGTAAGCATGGCCCCGCTGGCCTAAAGCTATCGCGCGCGCGCGCGCACACACACATACTCACCAGCCTCCGACCGGAGCGCACTGGCACGTATATCCGCACACAAAAGGGCAGCTGAGCGGCGCCGGGCTTGGTCCGGGCCCAGGCAAGAGGGCCCGCCGGGACGACGGGAACTGAGTGGCCGGGCGAGAGCCGGGGCGCTAGGTGGGCGCGCGCATGGACGGGGAGTACGCGCTGGGGCGCCGCGAGCTGCGGAGAGGGCGCCGCCTCGTGATCGGGGGCGCGAGCGACGCCACAGCAGCCCGAGGACGCGCAGGACGATGCGGGCGGCCGACGCAATGGCTCAGAGAAAGACAAGGCGGGCGCGCCGCGCACAGGATCCCCCGCCGCAGCTCGCTCGCAGCTGCAGGGCGGGGGGTGGTGGCCGGTCGGAGAAGCGTACGATGATGTCGATGGGCGGCCGACCGTGCCCGCTGACAGCCTGCCACCAAAATCACACACCGCGTCGCCGCCACCCGGTCGGTCGGCGGAGACGCGCAGAGAACTGGCATCACGAGGCCGTCGTCGTCAGTGCCGCTGCAGGCGGTGTGTGGGGCTGCGCGAAGCCCTGGCCGTCTCGCGTCACGTCTGACGACACGACACGCGCCTCGCGCGGGGACCGCAGGTGGTAGCGCAAACGCGCCGGATCGGGCACGGGCTTTCCAGGGTCGGCCAGATCGAACGTGCACGCCCGCCCGCGTCGTGCGATTCCGGATACACACAGGAAGGCTTCGTGCTGCGCGTGGGGCGACGTCGAGCCAAGGCGGTGGTGGGTGCGAGTGAGTTGCCGTGGCGCTGACACTGTGGCGCGTCGGTGGAGGGGCAGCTGCGGATATGAACATGTAGTTCCAGGGAGCTCTTGGAACGCACGGTCAAATTGCCCCTCACCGACTTGCTGCCTCCCGATAGGTCAGGCGCGCGATGCTGAGGAGTGTAGACATTGCAAAAAAAAATTCGTCCTGGGCGTGGAGCTGCATCGAGACGATGGCTGGGCGCAAGGGTTTTGTGCAACGTGACCGAGTCTGTGGCGCGTTGACGCTAGCAGCAGATTTCGATGGTCAGCTGCAGGCAATCGAGGGTGGCGGCGAGTGAGTGAGTAGCCGCTAGAGGCAAGCTTGAGATCGAGGGGCGCAATCACTAGTTGAATGTTCAGTCCACGCCGCGCGCCCGATACACAGAGCCCAGATCCGCTCTGCAGACCGTACTGCCATCAGTGTCGATCAGGCGCACCACCGTCCCCCGCTAGGAGTCGCTTAGGAGGCGACTTTGACTTTGAGAGCTAATTCAAGTCCCAGCTCGACAGTCGAAGCCAGCACCGGCACAGCGCACGCCCCACGCGTTCACGCCCCCCTCCTTCGCCTTCTCATGCATGCATCATCACACGTCGCTCCGCCGTCCTAACAGCTATAGTGCCGTCTTCAACCGCGAGCCATTCAGTGAACGGCTTCTGCTGACTGAGTAGCCAGCCATACAGCGGCGTGACGTCCGTCTCGGGGCGCGTGTACGTATCTTTAGAGCAGTCACCCATTCAATACAATCCATGCACAGTCCGCGAATACCCACCGCGGCGAAGCGGCTGGCGTGCGTACGTAACGTAACGTACAGTGTCGCCCACCCCAATCTTACGTAGCAAACTCTCCCGGCAGCACAATGGGCCGCACGTTTTGCAAGAATGGCTAGCGCGCTCGGGGAGGAGCTCTCTGCCCAGTGCCAGCCGAGTTGAACTTTGCAGCGCGCGGACCGTAAGCAGTCTGGCTCTGAGACAAGACAAGGGCAGCCACCCACACTACTGTGCTTCGTTCCCGACGGGCAGTGACGCCATGTCGCCTTTTAGCCTCCAGGACTCTGCACTCACGCCATACCATGTACAGAAAGCCGAAACGGCGCAGGCCAAGGACGCGTGCGAGCGCCCTTGCGCCCGATGCGGCCTAGCCCCCGCCCCGCGCCACGCACTAGAGTAGTTGGGCCATTGCCAACGGCGGCTAGCCCCAGGGATTTTCAAAAAGGGTTGGGGCCTGGGACCCTGAGATAAGGACTGAATTAAGCTGCGAGATCACATCCGCCGATCACGCCGTGGGAGTGCGGAGTGCGAATGGGAAAAGAAACAGAGGGGGGACAGGAATGGCGCGGAAGAGAGTTTTTGCCGCTGCGCGATATGAATCCACAGGCGCGGCTCGCAGGCCGGCGCACAGCGGGGGCGCCGGAGGGAGGGTCGTAAGGCGTGCTTTCGAGCACATCGTGCGACGATGATGGCGCGGGCGCGTTGTCGGCCAGAGACATCCGGACGCTGTCGCCGCGCGGGCGCCTCCGTCTCCCTGATCGTGAGTCCGCGCGGGCGCTTACGCGACGCTCTGGGCCCCGACCCCGTTTCCAGCCCCCGACTCTCCGGGACCGGAAAGTCGGCAGGGCGGCACGCGCAGCCACACACTCACCCTCAGCCCGACACTCTCAGCCCAGCTCAGCTCCGCACACGCCTCGGTCGCTGCAGACCCCGCAACCCGGGGCAACCCAGCTCGCCCCCGCCGATCCCCCCCCACACCGGCCGTGCGACCCTCGCTCTGGACGCGCCGCGACCGCGCCGTGGGGATGGGCAAAGAACCGCCGAGCCTGCGAGCCTGGCCAGCCGGGCCATTGTGCGGGCCCACCGCTGCCGTCCGCGTTCTCGCAGGTCGTACGTGCCGTCTCGCATCCTGTGCTGCTACAATAGAGCGCGCACGCTGTATGCAGCATTCATTGCGTACGTAGCCATAATAAGCAGCAGCCGCGGGGCGTAAGGATAGGTCTGTGCGCACGGCAGGCAGGGCCCGCGCGTGCCGTCCCGGCTGCGTGCGGCGGCGGCGGCGGCGGCAGCAGTCGTGGATGCCGGGAGAGCGGGCGGGTGGAGCGTGCAGAATCGAGTGCGGGATTAGAACGATGGCGCCGGGT